TTCCCCCTGTCTAGACAAGCCCAGCGTTGGGTTTCAGTAGCCAAGCTCGAGTATAAGCTCTTCTAAGGTAGCCCAGCCTTGGGTTTCAGTTGCCAAATTCACCTTTAAACCCTTCTGAGGTAGCCCAGGTTGGGTTTTAGTAGCCAAGCTCAGGTTTAAGCCCCTCTGAGGTAGCCAAGCATTGGGTTTTAGTAGCCAAATTGACCTTTAAGCTCTTCTAAGGAAGCCCAGCCTTGAGTTCTGGTAGCCCAGCTCAGGTTTAAGCCTTTCTGGGGTAGCCAAGCGTTGAGTTTTGGTAGCCACGCTTGGCTTCCCCCTGTCTAGACAAGCCCAGCGTTGGGTTTCAGTAGCCAAGCTCGAGTATAAGCTCTTCTATGGTAGCCAAACATTGGGTTTTAGTAGCCAAATTCACCTTTAAGCCCTTCTGAGGTAGCCAAGCATTGAGTTTTAGTAGCCAAGCTCACTTCTAAGCTCTTTTGCAGTAGCCAAGCCTCTGGTTCTAGTAGCCAAGCTCACCTTTAAGCTCTTCTGTGGTAGCCCAGGATGGATTTTAGTAGCCCAGCTCAAGTTTAAGCCCATCTAAGGTAGCCCAGCCTTGATTCCTAGTAGCCCAGCTCAGGTTTAAGCTTTTCTGGGGTAGCCAAGCGTTGAGTTTCAGTAGCCACGCTTGACTTCCCCCTGTCTAGACAAGCCCAGCGTTGGGTTTCAGTAGCCAAGCTCGAGTATAAGCTCTTCTAAGGTAGCCAAGCCTTGGGTTTCAGTAGCCAAATTCACCTTTAAGCTCTTCTGAGGTAGCCAAGCATTGAGATTTAGTAGCCACGTTCATCCTTAAGCTCTTCTAAGGTAGCCAAGCATTGGGCTTTGGTAGCCAAATTCACCTTTAAGCCCTTCTGAGGTAGCCAAGCCTTGGGTTTCAGTAGCCAAGCTCAGCCTTAAGCTCTTCTATGGTAGCCAAGCTTTGGGCTTTGGTAGCCAAGCTCACCTTTAAGGTCTTCTATGGTAGCCAAGCCTTGGGTTTCAGTAGCCAAGCTCACCTTTAAGCTCTTCTGTGGTAGCCCAGGATGGATTTTAGTAGCCAAGCTCAGGTTTAAGCCCCTCTGAGGTAGCCAAGCATTGGGTTTTAGTAGCCAAATTGACCTTTAAGCTCTTCTAAGGAAGCCCAGCCTTGAGTTCTGGTAGCCCAGCTCAGCCTTAAGCCATTCTGGGGTAGCCAAGCGTTGAGTTTTGGTAGCCACGCTTGATTTCCCCCTGTCTAGACAAGCCCAGTATAAGCTCTTCTATGGTAGCCAAGCGTTGGGGTTTAGTAGCCAAGCTCAGCCTTAAGCTCTTTTGCAGTAGCCAAGCCTCTGGTTCTAGTAGCCAAGCTCACCTTTAAGCTCTTCTTTTGTAGCCCAGGATGAATTTTAGTAGCCCAGCTCATGTTTAAGCCCATCTAAGGTAGCCAAGACTTGAGTCCTGGTAGCCAAGCTCAGGTTTAAGCCTTTCTGGGGTAGCCAAGCGTTGAGTTTTGGTAGCCACGCTTGGCTTCCCCCTGTCTAGACAAGCCCAGCGTTGGGTTTCAGTAGCCAAGCTCGAGTATAAGCTCTTCTATGGTAGCCAAACATTGGGTTTTAGTAGCCAAATTCACCTTTAAGCCCTTCTGAGGTAGCCAAGCATTGAGTTTTAGTAGCCAAGCTCACTTCTAAGCTCTTTTGCAGTAGCCAAGCCTCTGGTTCTAGTAGCCAAGCTCACCTTTAAGCTCTTCTGTGGTAGCCCAGGATGGATTTTAGTAGCCCAGCTCAAGTTTAAGCCCATCTAAGGTAGCCCAGCCTTGATTCCTAGTAGCCCAGCTCAGGTTTAAGCTTTTCTGGGGTAGCCAAGCGTTGAGTTTTGGTAGCCACGCTTGACTTCCCCCTGTCTAGACAAGCCCAGCGTTGGGTTTCAGTAGCCAAGCTCGAGTATAAGCTCTTCTAAGGTAGCCAAGCCTTGGGTTTCAGTAGCCAAATTCACCTTTAAGCTCTTCTGAGGTAGCCAAGCATTGAGATTTAGTAGCCACGTTCATCCTTAAGCTCTTCTAAGGTAGCCAAGCATTGGGCTTTGGTAGCCAAATTCACCTTTAAGCCCTTCTGAGGTAGCCAAGCCTTGGGTTTCAGTAGCCAAGCTCAGCCTTAAGCTCTTCTATGGTAGCCAAGCTTTGGGCTTTGGTAGCCAAGCTCACCTTTAAGGTCTTCTATGGTAGCCAAGCCTTGGGTTTCAGTAGCCAAGCTCACCTTTAAGCTCTTCTGTGGTAGCCCAGGATGGATTTTAGTAGCCAAGCTCAGGTTTAAGCCCCTCTGAGGTAGCCAAGCATTGGGTTTTAGTAGCCAAATTGACCTTTAAGCTCTTCTAAGGAAGCCCAGCCTTGAGTTCTGGTAGCCCAGCTCAGCCTTAAGCCATTCTGGGGTAGCCAAGCGTTGAGTTTTGGTAGCCACGCTTGATTTCCCCCTGTCTAGACAAGCCCAGCGTTGGGTTTCAGTAGCCCAGCTCAAGTATAAGCCCTTCTAAGGTAGCCAAGCCTTGGGTTTTAGTAGCCAAATTCACCTTTAAGCCCATTTTAGTAGCCAAGCTCAGGTTTAAGCCCCTCTGAGGTAGCCAAGCATTGGGTTTTAGTAGCCAAATTGACCTTTAAGCTCTTCTAAGGAAGCCCAGCCTTGAGTTCTGGTAGCCCAGCTCAGCCTTAAGCCATTCTGGGGTAGCCAAGCGTTGAGTTTTGGTAGCCACGCTTGATTTCCCCCTGTCTAGACAAGCCCAGTATAAGCTCTTCTATGGTAGCCAAGCGTTGGGGTTTAGTAGCCAAGCTCAGCCTTAAGCTCTTTTGCAGTAGCCAAGCCTCTGGTTCTAGTAGCCAAGCTCACCTTTAAGCTCTTCTTTTGTAGCCCAGGATGAATTTTAGTAGCCCAGCTCAAGTTTAAGCCCATCTAAGGTAGCCCAGCCTTGATTCCTAGTAGCCCAGCTCAGGTTTAAGCTTTTCTGGGGTAGCCAAGTGTTGAGTTTCAGTAGCCACGCTTGATTTCCCCCTGTCTAGACAAGCCCAGCGTTGGGTTTCAGTAGCCAAGCTCGAGTATAAGCCCTTCTAAGGTAGCCAAGCCTTGGGTTTTAGTAGCCAAATTCACCTTTAAGCCCTTCTGAGGTAGCCAAGCATTGGGGTTTAGTAGCCAAGCTCACCTTTAAGCTCTTCTTTTGTAGCCCAGGATGGATTTTAGTAGCCAAGCTCAGGTTTAACCTTTTCTGGGGTAGCCAAGTGTGGAGTTTCGGTAGCCACGCTTGGCTTCCCCCTCTCTAGACAAGCCCCATTTCCAAGACACTCACCGGCCGAGCCCTTTGGGCTAGTTGGGGGGGGGGAGGTGTAGTCCCCGACTCTGTGACATCATCAAGGGGCGGGGCTTCGGTTTTTGGGGTGAGAAACGGGACTCGGGGGAAATTCTCAGGCCCCACGGCAACTTCCTCCTTCTCAGGGGCCACCAGTTTCATTTCGTGGCCACTTCCTCCTCCTTTCGGGCAACCTGGGCTACCAGCTCCCCCCTCCCCCTCCACGCCCCCCAAAAAAGTGGTGGCCACTTGGGCAAGGACTTGTTCCTCTGCTGGCCACTGGCTCTTCTAAGGTAGCCCAGCGTTGTGTTTTGGTAGCCAAGCTCAGCCTTAAGCCCTTCTAAGGTAGCCCAGCGTTGGATTCTGGTAGCCAAGTTCAGGTTTAAGCCCTTCTAAGGTAGCCAAGCGCTGGCTTTTGGTAGCCAAGCTCCAGGAGAGGGACAACTGGGGCCACCAGAGCTCCACGGGGGGGTGGTCCATGCCAGTAGCCCCCCCAACACCCCTCTCAACGATGGTCTTCTCCTTCGTAGCCAAAGCCACCGCCCCCAAGGTCTACCCCTTGGTGCCCTGCGACTGCGACGACCCCACGGTCAGCGTGGCCTGTTTGGCCGCCGACTTCTTCCCCGAACCGGCCACCATCTCCTGGACCAGCCCCGTCTCCGGGCAGCAGGCCACCTTCCCAGTTCTCCCAGTTGCTGGAGGCTACTACAACCTCATCTCCCAGTTCACCGTCCCGGTCAACCAGGTGGACAACAACTTCCAGTGCACGGTGGCCCACAGCCCCACGGGGACCACCACCAAGACCATCGAAAGTGGCGGTAAGTTGCCCCTGGGGCTCATGTGACCTCTTGGTGGCCACCAGCTTGGGTCAGGGTTGGTGCTGGCCTTGTGTCATGTCTCGGTGGCCACC